TTTGATTAAAATCTCCTTTTAATATATTGCAAATGGTGTAATAAATAAGAAGCTAAAAAAAGGTTATCCTTAATGTTGTGGTAACTAAAAAAGAAATTTATTATTTGTTTGTGTCTTATTAATGTGATTTTTATTGTATTTAAATCCAAATCGTTTTCTTGTTGAATACCAGAATTGTTACCGTTGTAATCTGATAGTTGGACCAACAAAACCAAACGTGGGCCTGAAAATTTGTATAAAGGGCTTATATTATAAGGCCCAAAGTTAAAACGACGCGTTTCGTTAGTGGTTTTAGCCGAAGAAAGATTTTTGTAAATACAGAGTGAAAAACGGAATAATCAAAAGTAGAAGAGAGAAAGACTCAAGAGTCCGATTAGCTCTTTGAAGATTTTGAAAAGCGAATAATGCCACCGAAGAGGAATTTCAGGAAACGTAATTTCGAGGAGGAAGAAGAAGAAGATGATCAAAGTAAAGCCGCAATTTCAGATGAAGAAGAGAACCGAAGGTGAGTCCAAGCTTGAAAAAATCACAATTTTAGGGTTTTCTGGGGAATTGAAAAATCATAACTTTAGGTTTTTTTCAACGAATGCGTTGTTTTTACTTCAATTAATTTGATGGGTTGTTGAAAAGGATCGTTTTTTTTGGGTTAATGGGTGAATTTGTAGATTGGTGTTGGAAGAAGTGAAGTTTTTGCAGAAGCAGAGGGAGAGGAAGTTAGGGGTTCCAGTTTTGTCTACGGCGCAAAATAGCATAGGGAAAGTTAAAGCAGTGGAGAAAGTTGAAGCTGAAGGAGAGAAAGAGGAGCTTGTGTTGCAGGATACTTTTGCTCAAGAAACTGCTGTTTTAATCGAAGATCCCAATATGTAAGAATCTCTATACCGATTCCAAGGAATTTAGAGAAGTTAGATTGAGTTAGTGAGGTTTCTTTTGGAAGCTTTAAGGTGATTGTGTTCCTCTTATTGTCAATTCAATAGGGTAAAGTACATTGAACAAGAATTAGCGAAGAAAAGGGGTAAAAATCTTGATGATGCAGAAGAGGTTGAGAACGAATTGAAGCGAGTCGAGGATGAGTTATATAAGATACCTGATCATCTTAAAGTAAATTGTTTTTTTTTAACATTTGATATGTTTGATTTTGAGTGTAGCAAGAGCTTTCATTGTTAATAAATTCTCCAATTTGTTTTCAGGTTAAGAAGCGTAGTTCGGAAGAGAGTTCAACACAGTGGACTACCGGAATAGCGGAAGTCCAACTCCCGATCGAGTATGGATACTTTTTCATAGATTAGAGATTAAGTGTTTGAGTATGTTAAAGATGTAATGGTGTTTCTTTGTTGTTGTTGGATGATATAGATACAAGCTGAAGAACATCGAAGAAACAGAAGCTGCAAAGAAGCTTCTACAGGAGAAGAGGCTTATGGGTCGGCCTAAATCGGAGTTTAGCATTCCGTCTAGTTATAGTGCGGATTATTTCCAACGCGGGAAAGATTATGCTGAAAAGCTTAGAAGAGGTTTTTCCTTCTTTTTCCCCTTTTGCTTGTTAAGTTTCAGTCTGATATTTAGTTGTTAGGGCTATGTGTGGATTCTTGTATTGATCACTATCACTTTAATATGTAGAACATCCCGAGCTATACAAAGATAGAGGGCCTCGAGCTGATGGTGAAGGAGCTAAACCGTCTAGTAGTAGTAATACTAATGCTGCTGATTCAGGAAAAGACAGACAAGCTGCAACTGATCAAATCATGTTAGAACGATTCCGCAAGAGAGAGCGTAACCGTGTGATGCGGAGATAAGTGGAAAAAGAAAACATTCTGAAAGTTTATTAACACTCTTTTGTATTTGAATTCTGTAACATTTCATTCAAAGAAACCAATCTTTTACATCACCTATTCTGCTTATGGGGAAGATTATAAGGAAGAAGCTCTTGTAATATTGCCTGGTAGTTTGCATACTTGTGAACCGCTCGTTACCTTGAAACTTAGTGGTAAGAGTATTCTTATGGATGTTCCTTGAACGGTTTGTCTCCCTTGCTTGAAATCTTTGCACCTTCAAGATGTGACATACTTAAACGAACCTTCTCTTCGGTTGCTTCTACTCTATTGTCCTGCGTTGGAAGATCTGGTTATTCAACGATATCAGGGAATGTCATATCGTTAGTTATTACTGTCCCGACCTTGCAGAGGTTAACCTTATTGATATCTAAACTATGTCCTTCGGATGTGTATGTGATGGTAACCCCTTGTTTGAAGTATTTCAAAGTTGAGGATGGGAGAGAGTTTCTCCTTTTCGATTGAGCGTATGCCAAAGCTGGAAGAGGCATATATCAATGTTGTGCATGAACAATTAGGTATTCAAGTAGATGTGGAACTTACTTTTGAACAAAACTTGTATCTCTGTTGTAGAACATACATCTTTATCCCCAAAGATGAGGTTGTATCTCTGTCGTAGAACATACATCTTCAACTAGATGTGGAACTTTTGAACAAAACTAGGAAAATTTAACATTAGCTGTCATATGCAATAATCACATGGTTCATTTGATGAAAGTCACACATTTACCCAAACCCAACC